GCCAGCGACTCACGGCAGCCCAGCTCCAGGTTGAGCTGTTGTTCAGCATCTTAGCTGTGGAGGGCAGTGTCACTGGCCCTCATATGTGGGATTCCGAACCGGGGCCCTCTGGCGTCCCAAGCCAGTTCTTAACCATCGCGCCACTCAGCCGGCCCAGGACTTCTGAGATTTAATATTCTCCAAATATTTTATGCTGGACCATTGTTATACTTGCTGTGTTAGTGTGTTAGTAGTTTGGTAATTTACATTTTCTACATAGTTTACTGTATTTATACATTTCCTTATTTATACCTACTTTTATTTAAAAAGGCTTTATGAAATATGCTTTTGAAATGAACATGGTTATCTATAGCTTCATAAGAAATGACCACAAAACTTAGCAGCTTAAAACAATAAATAACTAATATAGCACTTTTGTAAAAAATGGTTCATTTACTCTGAAACATATGCTCAATTTGTTGTAATATTTTTCTACACTTTATTAAATATAATGTGAAATTTCTAACAGAATACATTTTCTTAAAAGTGGTGTGCAAGGCTTGGCCAATAGTGTTTTAAGATTGTATTCAGTAGATAGTGGTTATCTTTCATGAGAGATGACTTAATCCATATTATACTGGAGTCTGTAAAAGCAATATAACTATATTAACTTCTCTTTATTGATTAGTTAATAGGTAATAAAAGGTCTGAAAATCAAACTAAATTATATTGTTCTCATGGTTGATTTTTTTATAAAAGATTCCATAAACTTCAGTAATTACAATTGCTTTTGTGAGAATTCTTGTACTTTTAAAATTTAAATCAATTTAACTAAATATTTGAATCAGTTTTACTAGCGTTGAAACATGTAGAAGTAGCACTTGAAATACTTCCCGAATTGCATATTGTAGGCTAGTTTTACAACCTTTTTAAATACTGTAAAAGCTATTATGAGTGTGATGCTGTGTTTACTGTACGTATAATAAACTTTAAATGTTGATAGGTCTGTAGTGTGAGAAAATAAAAATTAATTTCTCCCTCCACCTTACAAAAATGTCTTCTCCTTGTTTGACTTTGACATTGTATTATGACTTATTTCATGTTGAGAAATCGTTTTTGTAATTACTTCAATAACCAATCATTCTAATCAACTGATAAGCCATTTATTCATATAAAGTGTCACTTTAAAATCATCGAGTTTGTTTCAGATTTTCTTTCTATATTATTTCTCTTTAAATTGTATCCTTAAATTCAATTCTTAAGTATTAGCATTTTTTATCAGGATTACATTGAATTACTCAAATCATTTTAATGATAAGATATTTAAGTATAGTTTTAGTAACTAATTATTGTAAATTATAAAAGTGTTCTTCTTACTGTCCCTTTTTTATTAGGTGAGTGTGGTCCAAGATTCAGTAAATATATCAGGGCATACTAATACAAATACTTTGAAGGTGCCTGAATGTCGACTAGCAGAAGATTTAGGTAATCTCTGGGAAAACACAAGATTTACAGATTGCAGTTTTTTTGTGAGAGGACAAGAATTTAAAGCTCATAAATCTGTACTTGCAGGTACTTTCTAATTTTGGGTAATATAGTACATTTTTTTTCATAAGTTTGTGCATTAAATAATGATACTTAATCTTTTTACAGCTCGATCCCCAGTTTTTAATGCAATGTTTGAACATGAAATGGAAGAAAGCAAAAAGGTAAACATGGTTTAAAAGCTAATATTGAATTTGTATAAATGCAGAATAGTAAAATGTATATTTTAAATGGAACAGTGCATGTTCTCATTGTTATACTATGATTTTAGAAAGAAATAGAAAGATGGGGAAATGTATTCCATAGTAGAACAATAGATGTAACCCAATATGGGTGAATATTCTGAACAACAGCTATTTTGGTTCTCATTTGGTGGGAAAATTAATGCGTAGTTATTATCCAAAGGACTGTTCTGGTCCATAGCTATTTGAGAGTTCTGTGGTTAAGGTATATATTTATCCTGTCAAGACTTTATGGGTTAATTTTGGAATTTGTTTTCTAGAACAAAAATAATGTCTACATTCTTTTTATCGCTAAAGTAAGAGGATATGTATTAGATTTAACAAAAATGACATAAATTACGTTGTTGTACATTAACTGTAATCAAAATATTACCTATTTGGTTTTCCCAGACGTTTCTGTTACCTGTCATCTTAAAATGTTGTCAGGTTTAAGATCAGAGGTTGAGTCTTTGCTGGTTGCGTTACAGGTGATCTGTAGTGCCCCAACTCCAGAGTTTGTTTATGTGGCTCAGCTTTATTCTTTCTGCAGAGTAGAGGCTGCAACAAAATAGCTACTTTTTTTCTTTTGATTGTTGGTCTGGGCAGGTACTGTGATGAGCCTTGTTAGCACTTCCAAGTCAGGAGACATCAGTGATGTTAAGTGCTATTGTCTGCAAAGGGTCCGAAAAGTTTGGTATCATTTAGTATTAGATATTTTGCTTGATTGATCTCAGGAGAAGCACCAAATTTACAAAGAGCAAAAAAGGAACTAGTCCTCTTTGGACTTGAGTATGTGTCAAGCAAAGAAGTGAGGTGTCCATAGATAATATTACATGTCATTTTGCAAGAGTTCTGAGGTATAGTGGGCTCTAGAATTACCTCATATACCTGACCCTCTTTTGCTTAAAGCTGGGAACAGAATCATTGGTTATAGGATCTTAGGCAGTGCATTACAAGTTAGGAATTTAGCAAAGAAAAAGTTAATAGACATCTTCCTCTAAGGTAGAGGTCAGAAACTGAACACAGATGCATTTTGTTAGGCCTACAGGTTTTTTGTTTTACTCTTTTGAATTGAGAACTTGGGTATATATTCCTACATGGTAGTGCTTGGCTAGAGTATACTTGTCCTCTTAGACCTGCCTGCTTTACTTTGCCTCCTTAGCTTACTAAATATTTACTTACCTCAATTTTAAAATAGACTTTAATGTATATTTGAGTCATACAGTACTTGAGTGCAGATTTAGGGCTTTTAAACTGCTGTCAAAGTTTCCCCTTGGTACATTTGTGTATGTTCTTTAAGTATAACTTTTTGTGTTTTCAATATCAGAATCGAGTGGAAATAAATGATGTAGATCCTGAGGTTTTTAAAGAAATGATGAGATTCGTTTATACAGGGAAAGCACCAAACCTTGACAAAATGGCTGACAACTTGTTGGCAGCTGCAGACAAAGTAAGTAATTGGGGCTTGAAGAGCCAAAATATGTCCTCAAGGTTTTGATACATCTAGAAAGCTATCATCAAATGAAAACCCCAAATAACTTGAAATATTGAATTAAGTTTTACTATTTGTAGATGGTTCTTGAGAGTATTATGAAATAGCATACAGAGGGATAATATGAAATGAGATTTTTTTAAACCAGTAAGACATAAAAATATCTTGAGCCAGTATATGGGGAAAGTGAAATTTTCATGGGAGATTAAAGTAGTTTTGCGTGTATCTTGACTCTGTTTTATAAGAACACACAATAGCATATATAATTTTTTTGCAATTTTCAGGTATTCTTAGTTTTAAGATACAGTGCCTGACTTCTGTTTAAAGAAAGGAAGAAATATTGGGTATTCTGTCTAATTTAATTCTCTGTATTCATAGATTTATTTTTTAATATAGACTAGAAAGAGAAAAAAAACAATTTTAATTTTATAATGCTCTTTTATGATAGTGGGGAAACAGTGCAAAAATACCAGAAAATCTTGAAGCCAGTAGTTTTCAATCCTGAAAGCCCATTAGCATCAAAAATATTAAATTCATAGGCATAAATCTGTCAAAAATGTTCAAGATCTGTATCTGAAAATTATAATTGCTAAGTGAAATTCAGGTAGACCTAAACAAAATAGATAAATCTTGTTTATGACTAGAAGTCTCGATATTATTAAATTTTCAGTTCTTCTTAAAGTTGATTAGTAGAACCAACATGTTCTAGCAGGGGTTTTTTTGTGTGTTTTTTCTTAAGAACTTGATAAGCTGATATAAAATTTATGTGTAAGTGCAAGGACCTGTAATCAGATAACTAAAAAACAAGATCAAAGTGAAAGACTAACACTGTCTCGTAACAAGACTTACTGTAATGCTTCAATATTTAAGATAGTATTGTATTGGTGTTAAGATGGACAAATGACTCAGTGGAACAGAGTAGAGAGTACAGAAATAGACTGCCATCTATGTGGGTATCTAATTTTTAATAAAAGTGTGAAGACAAATCAGTGGAGAAGGCATAGTCTTTTCAACAAATGGTGCTAGAACAATCAGACACCCCTATGCCCCTAAAAATGAACTTTGGAACTCATTTGAAAAAATGAGCTTTGTATATGAACTTCACGCCATATATTAAAAAATAATAATTCAAAATGTAATATAAACCTAATCTACAACTTCTAAAAGAAAACAGGAGAAAGTCTTGATGGTCTTGTGTTAGGCAAAGACTTCTTAGCTATGACACCAAAAACATAACACATAAAAGAAAAAAACTGATAATTGGACTTCAGTAAAATTCAAAACTTCTTCAAAAGACACGGAAGAATAAAAGCATTAGCAACACACTGGGAGAAAATATTTGCATAGCATATATTTGATGAACAATTTCTATCCAGAATATATCTGATAAAGGGCTTTTGAATTCAGACTATATAAAAAACTCAAAACTCAATTATAAGAAAGCAGTGTTATTTCTGAAAATGGAGAAAATTTTTGAACAGACATTTCCTGAAATAATGTCTATCAGGTATATCAGAAGATGACTCAACAGCATTAGTCATTAAGGAAATGTAAAGTATCACAAGATACTTCTACGCATGTATTACAATAGCTAAAATTACAAAGACCATACTAAGAATGGTCAAGGATGTGGAAGAATTAGGACTCTCTTACACTGCTAATGGAAATATAAAATGGTACAACCACTTTGAAAAAGACGGTTCGGCAGTTTCTTAAAAGTTTTAAACTTGCCGTATGATCCAGTGAACCCACTTTTAGATTTTACTCAAGAAAAAAGCATGTGCCCATACAATGACTTATGTATGAATGTTTATCGATGGTTTATTTATGATAGTTAAAAACCCAAATGTTCATTAATAGATAAATGGGTAACAAATCATAGTATGTCCATATACAGTGGGATACCACTCAGCAATAAAAAGCATTGCATTATTGATACACAGGCCACAACATGCTTGAATCTCAAAACAATTGTACTGAGTTGAAGAATTGAAGAATCCAGTCAAAAATGAGTACAAATTATATGATTCCAATTAAGGAAGACTCCAGAAAATGCGCACTATAGCAGTAGAAAGCATATCATAGGTGTTGCTTGCGGTAGGGTGAGAGAAAGGATTACAGAAGGCTAGGAGGAAACTTTTGGTCATGATGAATAGGTTCACTATCTTGATTTAATGGTAATCATATGACTGTATAAACTTACCAAAGTGTAAACTTTAAATATGTGTAGTTTGTTGTATGCCAATTAGACCTCAGTAAAGCTGCCTAAGATGTTATAATGAACATATACACTAAGGATTTTTAGTGGTTATGAATATGATTTGTTTTATAATTTATTCTTCAAGATTGAGTTGTAGCAACATGCAGTGTACTGTTTGGTATACTCATGTTCAAAATAGTAGACAAGAGAAATATTCTCATTAAAAGTATTGAGTAATAAGGTTTTTTGGTGTTTTTTTTTTAAATAAAACCCTGTTCTTAAAATATACATTACTTCACACTTACGCAAATTGAAATTTCCTTAAGAAATTGGTTTTTCTCTCGAATGTGTTCCTGTTTTCTTCATGTTAGGTTTAAAATAACTTACAGACTTTTAAAGTACCTTCAATTCAAAGGATAATATGCTTTTAACTTCATTTTCTATGTCACAAATATGTATTTAAAACTTGATAGTTTGAGTAAATGTTTAATGGTTATGTTTTCCTTTTGGATAGTATGCACTGGAACGGCTGAAGGTCATGTGTGAAGAAGCTTTGTGTAGTAACCTCTCAGTAGAAAATGTTGCTGATACCCTTGTTCTTGCAGATTTGCACAGTGCAGAACAGTTGAAAGCACAAGCCATAGACTTTATTAATAGGTAAGGTATGCTTGTATTTCAGGGGGCATAACACCTTCAACTTTTTTCACCAGACTTTTTTTAAGTGTTTTTAAATCTTCAATGCAGGTGCAGTGTACTTCGACAGCTTGGATGTAAAGATGGGAAAAACTGGAACAGCAAGTAAGATGACACTTGTTTCTGACTTAAAGTTGATCTGCTTACAAAAAATTGTTTGCAAAGCGTTTTGTTCATCTGCAATAAGTATGAACCCAGATATTAGTTATATGAAGAAAACTTCTGGTTATTTAAAAAAAATCATAATTTGAGTACTTAGTGGATTCTTGAGGCTGTGCTTCCTTCCTTGTAGATCAGCTGCTAATGTGAACTGGCGTAACAGTAAGTCTAATATCTTAAGCACATACGCTTATATAATATATAGCTGAGTTTAGGTAGTTAGTGGTTACTAGAATTCCTTTCTTTGTCCGTCCAGAAAGCATTTCTAAAAATATGGAAAATATTCATTTCATCCTATGAGGAATGTACCCTCCAAATTTGCCTAGGAAGTCTTTACATTTGAATGTTAACCCATTGCTTCTTAGGTTAGCCAAGTACCTTGCATCAAATGCTGTATTAGGGTAGCTGCCTAACATTCCAAAAATGGGAGCAATTGGATCTTTACATGCCCTGGTAAAACTATAAGAGGTGGCATAGTTGTTACATCTTTCTAAGCCTGGACTTTCTGAATATGAACTATTAGAACGTACTATTTCCCTATTCTCTCATTTTTAGAGTGCCTTTTCTACTCTTTGTAATTATTCAAAATCAAAATGGGAGAGGCGATAGGTTGAAGAATTTATATCTGCTTTTGATTACTTTTTGTTTCTAAACCCTTAAATTCCATTTTTGCAAATTATCAAAAATTGATATAAGTTAAAAAAGACAAGTTGATACAAGAAAGTCAAAAAAGACAGTGTTAGAGACAATAAAATGAATGTTTGTAAACTTAATTTCCTATTGCTTTTATCTGTTTTGATATATATGAAGTTGGTTAACTGAATTCCTCTCAATTTGTAAATTCTCTTTTCTGAAAGTAAAAATTAGTGACTACTTTTAAGTTATTGGTTGTTCTGTATATTGGTCAGTGTGTGATAATACATTATCATCATGGTATATGATCCTAGAAAAAAATCAATTTGAATTTATAATACAATGTATTCTTAGCAAAAGACAATTTAGTGATTCTTTATACTTAGCCACTTTCAAGCTCTAATTTTATTCTAAGAAAATATTTTACATTGTATAACTTTTTCAATGTCAAAAAATATCAGCTTATTTTATATCCTCTGAGTAAGCTGCTGTATGTACAAACATTCAGTAAATATTTGTTGAATTAAATAAATGAAAATGTCAGGTATATTAAGAAATATTTATGTGATTTCAAACAACTAGTTGAAATTATAAACATGATGACAAACTGGTAATTTGATGTCAGGCAAATAAAAGGAGTTGTTTTATTATTAGCTACTGTTTAGTTCAACAAACATTTACCTAGTATCTGTCATGTCTTCAAACACTATGCTAGGGTGCTACCTATAAAAACAATTATGAGGAAAAATCCTTGTTATTGAGAAATGATGTAATGAAAGAAACAAGTAAATGAATATATCATTCATATATATATATATATATATATATATATAAATATAGATAGAAATTTAATGAAAGAAACAAATACATGAATGTATCATTATAATATGGGAAGCAATGTAATGAAGGAGGGTAGTTGACAAAGGCTGGAGGTTTAGGGATGTCTTCCTGGAGATGACTGAGCTGGCTTAAAACATGAATAGGAATTAGCAGAGCTAAAAAGGAACTAACAGACATTGCAGACAGAAAGGATAGCTTGAATCAAAGTGTAGAAGCATGAAGCAGTAGTCTGTCACTTCAGATACTTATATTTATTATCCAATAAATACCCATGGCACCGTGCTCAGAATCAAGAATATAATGGTGAACATGACAGACATTTTCTCTGGCTTCATGGAGTTTATAGTTTAGCAGGAGATAAATTAGAAACAGGTAATTGAAATAAAGTGTGATGATCGATAAAGGACACCATGTCCACCTGAGCATATAGCAAAGGAACCTAACCTCATCTAGGGGTCAGAGAAAGCCTTTTCAAGTATAAAGGCCTGAAGCATTAGCAGGAGGTAGAAGAAGAGGGAAGAGGTGGGAAAGTGCATCCCCAGAAGGGTCGGGTTTTTTTGTTGTTGTTTTGTTTTTAGCTGACCTGTTGGCAGCTCAGCGGCATCCCAGCTCGGGCCGGGAATCAGATCGGCAACCCTGTTGACAGGGACCAGAGAGCAATGAAAGAATATAGTATTTTGAAGGAACAATCTATAATATTTGGATATTATTTGGATGCTGGGTTGGTATAAGGGAGAGAATACAGGAGACGTGGAAGGGTAACTAGGTTTGTTGTTTTAGCAATAAGTTATTTACTCTGATTGCTCAGTGAGAGCATGTTGTGCATAGGGTACAATAAGCAGTTCAGTATCAGTGTACAAAATGCCTGAGCATGGAAGTAGGATGTGGAAAGCTAGAGAGAGGAGGTAGAAAACCTTTTCCTCTTTCTAAAAAACTTGGATACAGGCAGTAGGGAAGAGGACCTGATGTAGTCATACTTAACATTACTAAGGCAGCATGGAAGCTGGTTTGAGAGGAGCAAGATAGGAGACTAGAAGACAAATTAGGAGACTTGTAATAATGTACACGTGAGATGATGTGGGCCTTAACTAGGGATCCAAGGTGTCTTTGGGAATTAAAGTAGGGCTTTTATGATTTATTGGAAAGCACAGGGTCTAGGGTGACTCCCAGGTTTCTGATTTGACTCACTGGGCAATGGTGGAAGCATTAGCTGTTTGGGAATGAGGGAGGAAGAATTTGGGGCTTTGTGAGAAACATGTTGAATTCTTATCTAACAATCCTGAATTTATGAGTCTTGAAGCACATCCAGGTGAAGAGAACAAGTGGTTTTAGGAATGAACTTTGTGGGAGTCTTAAGATTTAGCAAATCAGTAGTTTTTATCATTGAAAATGACAGCTAAAATTGTGAAGAGTGGATGAGATAGGATGAATAATGAATGTTAAGGGAGAAGAGTAGAGGATAAGAGTTGGAACTCTGGAGAAAACCTGAGTGTAAACCAATGAAAAGAACTCTTGAAAGAGCTGGTACGGAAATGCTAACACTGGGAGTGGACCTGTGGGGACAAGTGTCACATACTTCAGGAGAATAGACCTCCCACGAAAATTTAATAGTTTCAATTGCAACCAAAAACACTAGTAAAGTGATATTTTAATGAATTCAAATGGTTTGAATACATACAAAGGCCAAATGTTCAAAACGTTTTGAAAACCATCAATTAAAAAAAATTGAAAGGGCCGGCTGAAGTGGCTCAGTTGGTTAAGAGCTCGCTCAAGAGTTTGAGCTCTGAGCAACAGCGGTTCGAGTCCAGCCTGAGCTGAGCAGCCGCTGAGCTGCCAACAGGTAGCAGGATGGCTCAGCTAAAAAAAAAAAAAAAAAATTGAGAGTGCATTTTGAAAAGTACTCTTTAATAAACATCTGTTAATTTTATTTTTCAGCCAAGCGACAGACATAATGGAAACATCAGGGTGGAAGTCCATGATTCAGTCTCACCCTCATTTAGTAGCAGAAGCCTTCCGAGCGCTAGCATCTGCACAGTGTCCACAGTTTGGCATTCCACGCAAACGGCTAAAACAGTCCTGAAACCTTCCATGAACTGTAGAAAAATGGAATTGACTTTTATTCCTCCAGGTCCAGAAGGATTCTAGTAGACAAACCATAAGCAAGAGGTGTTTCTGTTGTCTTGTCCACAGAACAGAAGCTGAAAAAAGCATATTGCTTGCATTTCAGGTGGATAATTTATGGTTTATTCTTCAGCTTTAAATTAGACTGACTATATTCTAATTCACTTCAAGGCCTTAAATTATCTCCAGTGACTTCTCTTGTTCATATAATACTTTAATTTTTTTACTGTGCCTTGTCTTTTTGACCAAGGCTATGCAGGATTGCACTAGCTCCATAATGCAGTAATATTGATAACTGAAGATAATTAAGTTTCAAAAGGATCTTCCATTAGCTTGAGAAAAGCAAAATTAATTTTATAGGGTTTGTGCTATGCTATCTCAAAGTTTAAACTAGGTTGTCCTTAAAAGCACTTGCATTGGAGATAACTGGTAATGTCTCCGGTCTAAGTTCTATAAATATAGGAGAACCTGCTTACCTTCGAGGTAAGTTATGGCAATACACTGCTTCAGTTCTAATTTATTGTTCATTTCAGGGGGCAAATATGCAATGAGTTGGCCCAAATTTTTAGTAAAATTTGTGCTGTTTGTCTGTATGTTAACTGTTCAACAAACTAAGAGAAGCATAACAAAACTTTGCTTGTGTTTCTTTGTGGGTTTATCCAAGTTTACAGTGATTTAGAACTGATTGAGGTTAAGATTTCAATAGGAAGAAAGCATGTTTGTGCTGAATTATTTTTTTTTAATTTATAGTGATCTGCATTTATAGGAAGAATTCTGTACATGTTAAAAGTAAGGATGACCAAATGTAAATTTAATGAGTGGGCCAATTAATAAGAAAGATATATATGCACTTTTAATGTGTAACTTTTGTATGCTGAATGGTACATATATTTTTTTGCTTTTGAGAAAATAATAAGGTATAATTAATTGTGTCTTAACGTTTGACAGAATTTTTTAAGACAGATGGAGACAACTGGATGTTTGCGATAATACATAAGAAAGATATCCTTTATTATAGTTAAATTGGTTTCAATTTCAGATATTAATTATTGAATTTATTCCTGCTTGATCACATTTTAGAGAAGGCACCTGAACAATAAATAAATCCTGTACAGTCTACCCTCCTTCTAAAAACAATGAACTGATACTATTCCCAGATTAAAGGAGAGAACCCTTAGAAGTGTCAGGCCACACTCTAAACCTTTCCCCCTGCCCCACCAGCTTCTCCTTTCTGTTTCAGTTACTATAGTAAACATCGTGTATGATATTGAAATTCTACTTAATGTGAACAGGATAAACTATTTATAAACTGCTTTTCATGGGCCAGTTCTTTATTATAAATGAATTTTAGCTTTAAACATACACATGTTCAGTGTTTGATAGCTCTGTTCATAGTGGAGGTCTGTTCTGGTGCATTGTCCTGGAGAAGTATTAATAGGAGCTGTCAGTGTCAAGTCACTGCATCTTATTCCTGTAACAGTGACAGTATGCTTCTTAGGCAAGATTTACATTTGACCACAAGTGGAAAATAGTGTCACTGGGAAAAAATGCATATACCTATAAATTTGCATATATAATTTTATTCTCCAGATTAAAATTTGTATAATTTGTTTATTTAGTTTTTGAATTTAGGATAAAAGGAAAAAAAATTAAGCCTGAGGTTTAAAAATAGATTTTTTTTGTTATCTCTTTGTTAGGTATTCACTGAAGCAATTCTAATTTAATATATTAAGAGTGATTCATATTTACGTTAAATCACGCTGTCAAATGAGCATTTGTAATCCGTAACAAATTAGAGTTTGAAAAGATCATATTTTCAGATCTCTTCATGTCTCTCTATGTAGTTTCATTGAGTCTTTGTTGTGTTGGAAGAATCCCTTGAGATAGAAGAAAGATTCTTACGTGTTCATGGACTCCATCCTATGTAACATGTACTATGTAATAGTACTTCAGGGAGCAGAATCTCACTTCCTTACCTTTACCATAAGATTGAATTCACAATGTACAATTTAAAAATACATGTACATATAAAGTAAGATCTTTATTTTAATTTTGCCAGGGTCTTATAAGAAAACAAAAATTCCTTCCTCAGGCTGTAGAATTTTGTTGTTATATGTCAAAAAAGTACTGGTATCCCCATTTATATCAAATGCACACAGGCACAATATGAATTCACTGCTTGAATCTATGTTTCTAACCATAGTGACTTCAGTAATAACACCATAGTATGAACATTTCAGCTTGCCTTTACCTAACTTGTTTTCATGTTTATTACAAATCTTAAGGGTTTTATTATAAAGATTTTTTTTTTAGTTTGATAGCACATTTTGTACCAAAAACGTCAAACACTGTGCTGTAAGATTATCCACATTTGTAGAAATGTCCACTTTTCAGATAATATAATGCCTACCTTTATACTAACAGAATCGTATGTAGTTGATTTATTTTTTTTTTATTTATTATGTATATTTTTGGTATTGTGGGTTCTTAAGGCAATGATAAAAAACTGTTAATGTATTCTGATGTGAGTGCTCAAATAGCCTTTTTTTTTTTTTTCATTTTTAAAATACATGGTTTTCAGTAGGCACAGATTCTGTTCTGTTTTTGGTTATCAACCTGCTCCTGTTTCCCTTTTGTTACCTAAACAGAACTGCTTGGAAAAGGAGTGACTGGTTTTAAATGTTACATATTACAAAAATAACCATTGGAATACTGTTCTTTAGGTTCAGATACAGAAACACTATATTTGTGCCTTTTTTGTTTTTGAATTTTAATGTGTATTGGTATTTGGAGCACAAATATGAAGGTGCCATAATATTATGGCTTGCCATTGTTACCTCCTTGAATACGCGTATGTCATTGTCTTGAAATAGTAATTGAGGAACCTTGCATGTATTATGTGATCATTTGGGTGTCTGTGCGTGCGTGTGTGCATGTGTGTGCGTGAGTGTACATGGACTTGTTTTCACTTAGACTTGTGTGTGGTATATTCAAAAGAGTGAATTTTTAAAAATAGGACTCAGTTAAATGTTGAAAGTTCAGGCTAGTTGAAATATTTCATTTAATGTGCTTTACTTGGGACAAATGATTGACAAAGGAAATTATAATTCTCAAAAATGTGACCAATTACTGCATGATGAACTGTAAAAACAGTGCCTTTTAGGACACCATTAATTTTTAAATTAAGTTTAAAATGTTAACAAAGATCTCTTACAACGTTGTCATGAACCGTTATTGGCTTATTTTTAAACTAGACCTAAGTTAGAGCTTAAATTACCAAAAGTTTAATTACTAATTTACCCATTTAAGTTTTGTGCATAAATTTAAAACCTAAACCGAATTCTTTATGAAAATGTGGATCATAGATGTTACCCAGTGTTACTAAAATAGAACACTAGGAACTTCGGTAAGTTGTTTTGTTAAAATCCAACACACAAGCTTTTCTCATAGTCAAGTATGCTTCAGTGGTGAATTATTTCGAGTTGGACTTTAATGCTCATTGGTGGATAAAATAAAAATATTCAGTATATTCTTGCAAAGTAAGGTGGGTGGGTGGGTTTTAGTGTTTTCAGATTATAAAGACAGCACTTTCACACTCGAGTATTTCACAAACCTTTTATACAGATAATGAGCTCTACTTTTAATTGTTCATGGAATGATGTAAGTTTTAGGTTCAGTTAAACAAATATTGAGTGCCTACCGTACGCAAGACTTCCTCTTCACTAGGAATTAAATCACCACACCGTGTCTTCTGCTTGCAATATGTGGACTTTATATTTGAAAAGGAATTCTTATATTTAAGTTTTTCTGTTGTTAGAGTTTACCATCATATACTGAAACCCAGTTAATTTTGCATTCATTTTTTTAGAATGAAGCTAAAACTTAAGTGAGTCCCACTTTTGAAAATAAAATTCTGCTAAAATTATTTAAAAATTAGTTCTGGGGGGAATTGATTTTCAAATTTCAAATGTGTAAAGACGTATATTGAACTTCTCAGCCTCATTTTTAATCAGCTCATGTTAATGGTGAGATACGTACTTTTGGTATCTTGTTGCTGAAAATATTTTTTGCATTTCAGCACGTTGCGTTAAAATAAAGTTGTTACTACTTATTCAGAATTAATTGGTTTATTTTGTGTTTATTTGAAAATACAAACTCTTCTTTTTTAGGTGACTATGATGTTTTGCATAAGAGCCACGTATTCGCTATGGTAGCTTTCAAAATTATGCAGAGTAGTTATTTTTTCTACATAGGGAATCTAGTATTTTATGAAACCTACTAAAGACAATCCTTAACTGTGAGGTATTACTCATATATTTACTTTAACATATGAATATCATCAATATTGAATGACTTATGCTAATATCCTATAACTTTAATATAGCACTTAAAAATCACCTTACCCTAGTACTCCCACCACATCTTTTTCTTTTTTTTAAACAAGTTTTTCTTTTGTTTTTTTTTTTACTTTATTAGGGAACAGTGTGTTTTTTCTAGGACCCATCAGCTCCAAATCAAGCCGTTGTCTTTCAGTCTAGTTGTGGAGGGCGCAGCTCACTAGCCCATGTGGGAATCGAACCCGCAACCTTGGTGTTACCTGAGCTAACCAGCCACCCCTCCCACCCCTTCTTAATTTCAGCTGGCAACTTAATCATTTGCTGCTATCAAACAGAGCAGATTTGGGGCAGTGCATTCCTGGACCAGCTTATTAACAGTAATACAACTGATTGGTAAAAAATTATGGCCAAACTGGCAGTAGACGTGCACAGTGGAAAACCTTTCATATACCCAACATACACATACACATGTGCACGCACACTGAATTCCCCTTAGAAGAATAAGAGAAAGGTTGAAAAACTTAAGAACATTGTCTGTGTGATTATAACAAAACAGGACAAGCAGTCACAGTCGAAACTTCAAATGAACTGAAAAAACTTTTCCCTTCCACTTTGCAGCAGGCAACACCCTTAATACTTTTAGAACATTGAAATGTTGTGTCTTCTCCGTTCTACCACTCAGAATCATTTGTGTCTAAAAGAGAAGGCCAAGAGTGGCATTTGTTTTGATCACTGTTTTTAAATAGAAAACATTGGCAGAAATCTTTCACAATGTTTTGCTTCTTTTTATTTTTCCCTTGGCACTAGGGAGGTTTGCAGCATCTGCAATGGATAGTGGCAAAAAGGTTTGTTGTTCCTGTTAGGAGAGCTTCCTTTTCAGCTCTCCTGCTTCTTGCTCTCCACCTTAAATCTTTTTGTGAAGGATTCAGGTTTAGTTCTGTGCCCGTCTGTCACAAAAGCCAAACAGCTCCTCTAGTATCCAGTCTTACCCTTTGACCCAAATTCAAACTGGGCCTTAATAGATAAAGAGCAAAAAAATAAAAATATAGGATTTAGGAATATTAATTACAGTACCCAAAACAATCTTTCCTGATGACTCTGCTATTCACTTGGCTCTGAAATAAATTTACTACCATAACAGAAAGTTTGTAGAATATATACTTTTATTTTTGTTTGTTTAAAGTTGCAGAAATGGAGTTTATTAGAAGTAAAAATAAATTTCAAAGAAGCAGAAGCGGGCCCGAGCAGTAGAGAATGGCTCAAGGGCCATTATTAGAAGAGAAAGTACACTCCAAAGAGTTTGGAGCAGACAGAGCAAAGGAAGCTCAAAAGGCCTAGAATATATACTTTTAGAGTACTACAAAGATGTTCAGGACATAATAAAAATTGGGCATAATCAAGAAAATGAGAATAATGTGCAATTGAAAAAGTAAAATTAGATGCATTGAAGTTGATAATTACCAGAAATGATAACAGAAATTTGAGTCAGTAGAAGACAAGGTTCAGAAATGCTCCCAGATCACAAAGACAAGAATAGAGAAGAAAATAAAGGTAATTTGGTTTAATTTCTGTCACTGAATTAAATGGAGTGCCAGGCACTGTGCTGAAGATGTTTCCAGTAATAAGGAATAAATGGTCCTTGTAAGCATCCAAGCAAGAAAGAAAATTTTAAAAGTCATATTTCTGACTCAAGAACCCTTAGCTGTTTAGTGATTCATTTCTAAAGGTAACATGTAAATTATACAGAAGTAGTATGTTAACATTAGTTCCCAAAGCATAAGGAATGCTGACAATTGATCAAAATCCAAGCATAGAAGTTGAGTCTTAAAAGGATTGACAATAAGTATTAAACTGTTAGAGGTAAGTCTAACTTATTGTAACATTATTTACAAACATAAATGTAAAAAATGTAATTGACCACAGCCACCTCACCCAAACCTCTGGCACCTCCCCCCCCAACTCCTCCCATCCCTCAGGATTACATATGGAGACAGTTATTATCTTCTCTGCAGAGGGGCTTTCCTGCCTCCCTCAGAGGCCCTGGATAGTTTAGAAATATAAAATGTAAAATTATAAAGTTACAACTATAAATGTAAAAGTGACCATGTATTATAAGTAGAAAGGAAACTAGGCAAGAGGAAGATGGGGAACTGGAATTGGGAAATGAAAACACAAAATTTTTCCTCTTCCATAAACAAGAATTAAAATGTTTTTTTACTGATTTTTTAACTGAGTTTTAAACATTTAAGGATTTTTCAAAAAATAGTTAAGCTTTATCCACTGATAGAATTTAAAATAGACTATATATTGGGTCGTTGAAAAAGTCATCATGCGTGTTTGCAACAGATGGCACTAGTTCATTTTTGGAAGTACTAGAGTCATTTTCATCTATGTTACTATGTCATTTGATAGCTGACAATTCTGGTTTCATTCTAAAAAATGAGGGATCTGGTTGAGTTTTGGAGATTTTACAACAAGTTGAAGATGGAAGACCAAACTGCATTTTTGCCATATTTTACTGTTTTACTTCCATAAAGAGAAGAATGCACATCAAGCTTCTGAAAAGTTGCATGAAGTTTATGGTGACAATGCTCTACAAGAATGTCAGTGCCAACGATGGTTCACGAAGTTCCGTGCTAGTGATTTTGATCTCAACGACGCTCCTCGGTCAGAGAGGCCCACCAAGGTTGATGACAAAATAAAGGCATTGATCAAGTCAAACCCGTGTTACACGACACAAGATATTGCAGAAACATTGAACATCCATCATTCAAGTGTTCACGACCACCTGAAGAAGCTGGGATATGTAAGCAAGCTCAATATTTGGGTTCCGCATGAACTCAAGTTCATTGGCAGCGCGTATAAACATCTGCAATACACTCATTAAACAAGGAAAATGATCCTTTTTTGAAGGGACTGATAACTGGTGATGAGAAGTGGATTGTTTACAACAATGTGTGCAAATGGTCTTGGTCCCGACATGATGATTCACCTCAAATGACATCGAAAGCAGACATTCATCAGAGGAAGGTTATGCTCTCAGTGGTGGGATTTTAAAAGTGTGTTTTTCGAGCTTCTACCAAGGAACCAAATAATCAATTTGAATGTGTACTGTTGGCAATTGGACAGTTTGAACGAATCCATCATCTAGAAATGTCCATAGCTCATTAATTTTAAAGGAGTTGTGTTCCATCACAACAACATGAGCCACACACAAGTTTGATCACCCATCAAAAATTATTGGAGTTTGGATGGGTTGTGTTGCCACACCCACCATACTTGCCTGACCTTGCACCATCAGACTCCCACTTGTCTTGCTGTCTTCGAAACTCCTTGCGTGATAATAACGTTTAATTCAGATGAGGCTGTAAATCAGCACCTTCTTCAGTTTTTTGCAAATAAAGACAGGTCCTTGTATGAACAAGGAATTATGAAGCTCACTGAAAGATGGCAAAAGGTTATTAAGCAAAACGGGCAATATATCATTGATCTTTGTTCTTTATATAAATAAATGACCTTTGAAAAACAGAAAAAAACATCATGACTTTTCCAATGAGCCAATATATCCTCCAAAGCACAAACAACGGGTGTGTGGCAAAGTTGGGGGCGGGGGTAGGGAGGAAGAGGGAGGAAGGTGGTGGTGGTGGGTTGGGACAATTAACACACCAAAAAAGAAGAAGGCAAAGAGAACACTGCAAAACTCTAGTGAGACTGTAATAGTATGACAAATGGAGTAGATTAAGCACAGCTACTAGAAAATCTTATACAGCAATGATCTCATTCATCAGATTGTGGTAGCTGGGTATGTAATATAGAGAGAAACACCCTGTTCCAAAGGAATTTAATAATACCAATAACAAAATACAAGCCTTATGAAAGGGGAAGTAGAGAGTGTTGTGTAGCATGTCTCAGCAGTACATAAGTGCTAGCCAGGCAGAGAAGAGAAGGCATTATAATTTTATAAGGGAACAAGTGTGAAGGCTCAGGCAAGAGGATGGTGATTTTACGGAAAATACGGTTTAGCTGACCAGCTTTTTGTTGACATGTAGTGTCTCTGTGTGTGCATCCTTTTTTTTAAGGGGATGGGAATCCAAGTGAGAGAACTTTGTCGGACTAAGTCAGGAAAGCCCTTTTAAATTCTAAATTGCCCCAACTGAGTAAATCAAGGAAACAAATGAAAACGATTATAAAATAATTACCTCCATAGAAGGCTTGGAACTAGGTTGGCTTTTTATGGAAATTATTTTGAACTTTCTAGGAACTGATAATTCCCTGATATGGGAATTGAAGTAAATACTGAAAAATAAATTTAAACAAGCACTTTTAATCAAGCTAGTATAAACCAGATAGTGCTAGAAAATTGCAAAAAATAAATGAAATCAAGACACTAATGCAATACCTAGAGGTAGCAGTAGCCTAGTAAATGTTTGTTCCAGTCCCTTTCTCTTTTGCTAAGCAAGTAACCAAAAAGTGAGATGTACAGACCCATTTCTATTACAATATTAATGATAGAATCCTAAATGCGAATAGCTAAAATTCAGTAATGGAAAAAAGTTACCTAAGGTTAAGCTAAGATTCTTGAGGATAGGTTAGTATTAGGATATCAGGTTTACACCATATCAAAAGGTAAACTGAAAACCATTATCTAGTTAAATTTTATTTAAAAACCCACATTTTCACCCATTAACTATGGGAGTTAATTCTTCAACACCATAAAATATATTACTCTCACACCATTAATCAACATCATAGTAACATAGTTCCCATTAAAATCAGAACCA